ATGTCGTGGACCCGTTCACCCAGTGCGAATTTTCTTTTAAATAATAATTCTGCAAGATATTCCACGAAGTGTTCAGTTTTGCGTCCATAGCGGGACAGTCCTCCCCTCACATCTCCCGTTCCGCTCAATGTTTTGAGTGTGAGTTTCTGGATCCGTCGGGTTTACAAAGTTGAGGGAATGGTTGACACTCAAGTTCTGGACGCTGTCCTCCAGCGTGTTATACGCGCCCAGCGTCTTATACGCGCCCAGCGTCTTATACGCCCTCACTACCAGGATGTATCCATTCACGAATAACCCCCAGTAATGTTGGTGCATCTCGACTAGGTACAGGCACTAGGAAGACGTTCTTAGTTGTGCGGTAAAACCCCTAAAAACCCACTGGCCTTCAATTCGGGGACCGCGATTATATTTGCGTCTGTTGCCGAGCTCCAGCCCAATTCTAACTGTGCCACTTTAAATTATGGACAAAGGTCTAATATCTTCAATGACACCCAATATTGTCCTAATGCATCGCATTCGGTTTTGAACTGTTTTCAGATCAATTTTGCGGATCCTGGGAATTTATTCTTTGGAGAATTGCTTTCTTTTCGGCTTCCCATCCAACACCTTTCTACTCAAACTCCAAACATTTTCCGTTAGAGGCTATTGACGGATAGGCGCGAAATCGCTTTTGATAATTGAATTTGAAAAAAAAAAAAAATCGTTACACCATGTTCAAGTTTAGTTCTTTTTAGTTGGAAGCTCTTCTAGTTAAAAAAAAAGGAGCCTGTTTACCGAAAATTAATAATTGTACCGATGGCGACACCACAGTTTTTCCAGCAAGCGTAACTAATTGCTGATGTTCTAATCGGATAATAGTCCCTCACATAAGATTGCTAATAGTTCATTTATGGCATTTAAATTTCACCTAACGTTGTTCCACTTTGGGGAAAAGGACCGTGAAGTGCGGTAGAATTCATAAAATCGTGCACTGAGGGACGGGGGGATTGATTTCGTGTTTAGGTATTTATCATCTGGTTATCACCGGTTAACAACTACTTGGAGTTTGCATCACCGAGACGTTATTCTCGCGACGAAGGATGCGTATCAAGAGGAAACGCCGAAATGGATCGTCAATCGCATTTTGTGTTTATTTCTCAAGTGTTTGTTTTGGGTAATGGGGAACAGTCCACGAAATAAACTATCGAAGCTAAATTTTTTAAGTAACCAGTTACTTGGATCAATGCATAATTTAACATCATGTAAATTCTTTGTTTGAATTGCCGAAGAGATATTACAGTTTTCCCCGTTTTCGGATATCGCCAAAGTTCAGGAAATTTTAAGTCAACCGTAACACCTGATCTCCTCTGTCGTGGATTAGGCGTTTACCCAGCTACCTCATGTGCGGAGATAAAAGTAGGCCGCAGTTGATGCGAGTGTTTCGAAGACATGGCGCGTCGTGAATGGGGGCAATAAACATGCACAAGGAGGCGCCCTCGTGTGTATAAAACTGTTTTATATAAAAGCACCACAAAGTCTTATTTAAGTTTGACATTTTTTTAAAATGTTGCTTTGGTACCCGACAGAATGTTAAACATTTTGCATGATTTATTGAAGAAATAATTATTTTTTTTAATGTGTTTGAAACTAAAGAAATTGGGATGTGGTATTACATTTTTACCAGAAAAGAATGATTAATCGAGCTGCTTTTTTAAATTTAAATTTATTTATGAATATACAAGAGCAATAAATGACACGTTCTTCTACTACAAAAAAAAATATCGAAAACCTATAATAATGTAATTACTTTATCACAAGAGGAAAAAAAAAACTATTTACTGTTGTACAAAAAAATACAAGACTTTCCTCAAGGTAGTCTGTTTACACAATTTGATGCATCGTAAAACCGGCAACCAGTACTTTCTATACAGCAAAACCTCCATTAGCGGACACCTCTAATCAACGGACAATTTTTAAGAAGCCGAAAGTATTGTCACGACCCAAGCTTAATTTCTCAGGAACCCCAAATTTTAAACTACCAAATAAAATTGTAAACTAAATTTATTATCGAAAATGGTACTATCGTTCCGGGGTCTTGTTGTTACGATGGTGGTCACTCACCAACTCCCCGTTTGGGTTACTGATTCCACTTCCTTATGGCCATTTAACACCGGTAACCATGGCAACCATTTTTGTTTGGAATCAGTTGGAACGCGCCAACGCCTATGTGACGTCTCACTTTTTGCATGCATGGCATACCATGTTTTATTGTACCATGGGCACGACACTACCCGAACCCGACCGAGGTCAGGTCAACCAAGGACAAGACGATGACAAACGCTCGATAAAAAATAATGAGACTCTTAGCTTAAATTTCTTGAGATGGAAGCCCCACTATATAACTATTACTTTTAACAAATTCAGGAAAACGTTTTTTTTTTTTTTATTTCCAGCGGTCTTGCATCACGGATCCAAAATTCGTTGTTAAATACTCTGCTTGAATGCAGCAAGAGATTCACTAAATTCTTCATGCGTTGAGAATTTGTCTCTCACATTAATTTCTGTTTTATCGTTAGTAACACTCTGCAACTACTACGGGCGTAGCCTATACTTATGCCACTTTTTGAGGTTAGGCACTTCGCCGGCAACCGTTTGTTCGTCTGACAAAAGCCGGCGCTGGCAACCGTTTGACTGGTTAACTGGAGCCGGCGCCGGCAGTACCAGTCACAGACCAGTAAACAGAGAAAGACGTGTAAAAGATGGCATGAAATGAGAAACACGATGGCCGCGCCGCTCAAGTGACTGGAAGAACTACTAGATCCGGCGCGAAAGTTTAAACAAGGTTACCGCAGATTTTTTTTGCTGACTTTCTATCAAGATATCAAGAATTGTGGTTAATGAGAAACAAACAATAATATCCATTTAAAAAAATTTATTACAAAAATTCAAAAAATAAATAAATTTTCTACAAACAAAAATAATGGCAAACGCCAGTCAGTTGTAAACAAATATAATTCTCCCACAAAAATTAAAAAACAGAGAAAGGTTATCAGAAACCACTTAAAAAATATATTTTTGTGTACCTTGAAAAAAAAAACAGTAAAAACAAACAATACTGAACACACCGTCCAAAGAAAAATAGACAAAAAAAAAACAACAATGCAGGTACTGAAACATTAACTAACTAGTTGCTTGAACAATTGCAAATTATATATTACCACAGTGTGACAACGTACTCCTCCACTTACAAAAGTTATAAAAAAAAACGTGCAAAAATGTAGATTACTTGGACATATTTTGATATGTTCGTAATTTTCTTTCAGCATTTCTTTTTCTATTTTGGTCTTCAAATTGTCTCTGAATATTTTGGCAATATTTATTTAAAATTAAAAAAATCGCAGATCTCGGCGACATTTTCTGAATATCTCTTGCATGATGGTCACATTTAAACTAAGCAAATTCTACTTTCTCAGTCAAAATCGTGAGCAAATTTTCGGAAATGCTGGTAATGAATGGAAATTTGTCCAAATAATACATTGCAACGTCATAAACATGTGCTATAAAAAGAAGTAAATCTTTGGTAACGTATTGCAGTCTAAATCGATTGTCATATTCTTTAAAATTGGTAAAAATGTGTTGTGGCTCTGGTGTGTCAACGGTTAATATTCGGTGACAAGTACTGCATTCTGTGTTTTTAATTTTCCTAACTAAAAAACCAGAGACGTAAGCAAGTGCCTGTGAATCATACGGGTCATTTTCTACGGTTGCCTTGTCAAAATCTGGGGGTTTTAAAGAAGAAAGTTTATTATCGTTTTTTGATAAAAGTGGCTTAACTGTGCCAACTGAATCCCCAAGAAAGTCTCTTAAATTATCTAAGATGGCACCACCATCTTCTTCGCAATTCCCACTAGAATTTTTATGAGTTAGCAAATTATTTAAAATAGAATTTTTGAACGCCGCAATAAATTGAAAACAACTGGGATTGGTATTTCCAGATCCATGTTGTCTGATCACAGAGAAAAGATTCTCCAACGGATCCTGATTTAGCATTCGCGTTCTCAAAAATTTGAATCCCGCACCGGAGCAAATTGGCCAAATTAATTTCATGGCTTCGATGTTATTCAACCACCCTTGCTTAAAAGGCATCGTCGTTCGAATTGTATTTTTCTTTTCGTCCAAAAATTGCCATGTTTCAATTTTTGTTTTCATTTGGTCCCAAAAGATAAAATGTCTGGATTGATTAGTAATAGCATTTCGAAGAGGAGGATTTGCTTTTTTACAATTAATACCTCCCGAATTGAAACTATCAAACAGATTGTTCATATCACAGATAAATTCGGCAGTTTCAATAGCCTCAGATGGCATGCTTGTTTGGCTAACCATAGTCTTAATGGCTGCCGCCATTGTATTACTAAGTGTTTTTGCGGCAACCGCCACTTTCATTTTAAATAATTTATATTTATCAATGTGCAAATAGCACTCCCTAATCTTATGTAAGGTCTGAAATCGGCGGCCTCGATCATATTCATATGCTAATAATAAATATTGCCACTTCGCCTTCTTGTCATTGTCGTATAATATTGTGCATTTTGATAAAGCATTTCTTGTAGACTTAAGTAAATGTGGAGAATCGTAAAAAATTATAATTTTCTTTTGGTTTAGAATAAAGTATGGTAATTTTTCGTCAATGCCAGACAAACTTTTAAGAATATTCAAAGCTTTCATATTAGTTGCACCCTGATCACACACTGTACAAGCAACATTTAGTCCAGCCGTTTCTAGTTTATTAATTATTTCAATAATAAGATCTTTCAACTGCGTACTTTTAACAGTATCTTTCGTAAAAAAATACGCAACCGGTTGCTTCCAGCCTGAATAAATTCCTTGAATCATACATGAACATTTGTAGAGTACTTTTTTAAGTTTAAGAATTTTTTATTGTTGGTGTCTATTAATAAAATACAATTTTTTCTTTCGCGGAGTGAGGTCTATTACAACCTATTGCTTTCAACACGCTGTCACTGTTTTTTCTTTTTTTTGTTGAAGAGTTAATGGCAGAAGGACTACATGATCTCTTTTGTTGATGAGGAGTTGACGAAATTAAACTATTACGAGGATCAGTTATTTGATCTGAGCAAAAATTATTGTACCCCGTTGGTGTTACACATCTTTCGCTAATATTATTCACGTGCGACGAACAATAATCGTGTTCATTAGTAATAGAAAATCTATCGGAAATATTGTTATTACAATTATTAAATATTGTTGGTACGGCAAATTTGTGTAATCTGGTGCGTAAGGTACTAGTGAAAAAGTTATTAGTAAGATGATCTTCACATAAATAAACTTTTTTGTCAGTATATTCAACATCGCCGGGAAATGCATTGTTTAAAGCAATGAACCATATTTGCCTTTGTTTTGTCGCTTTCGGAAAAGAAAAAAAATGTTTGTTTGTACCCGATACATTTTGACAAGAAGGCACTTTGCATTTGTATTTATAGTTTTTTTTATCCATTGTACTTCTGACAGCCACAACACACTTTTACGTACTTGACATTATCCTGGTTATTATCCTACATGACTAGTACACAAGGTACTCAAATACATTTACTCTTATAACTAACAATTTATACATACTGAGTTTGCAACTTTCCCATTGGGTTGACGGTTGCTGGAACAAATTTTCAATAAAATCCAGAATTTTGTCTGAAGAATGCTTGGAGCATTGATGGTCTTGGCCCATTTTTGCAATTGCCCCGGCAATTCGGTACACAACATTTCGTTGGCATTTCTGCAAAATATATAAAAATTAAAAGGGTTTTGCTAAAATGATCAAAAAAGTTAACACAAAACAATTCAAATTCAACATAACCTCAACTGTTAAACGTTTTGATTCTAATTATATTGCACTATAGGTACTAACCTATGGTTTTAAAATGACCTGCTAAGTACGTACTACAATCCACAGAACATCCAATATAATCTACAATCTGAAAAAACTACCAAAATTATTTTTGAGAATTCAGCAATAAAAATTCAAAATACAATTTGTGGCGGTCCTGAATATTCCTGGACCCATCGTGGTGACGTCACACGCTGTCAATGAGTCTGTGCGAAAATTAAGTTTATTTGCCGATAAACAATTTAAAAAAAATTGTTTATTAAACTTTTTACAACTTTTATTCAAGTAACACAATAACGACCAAGAATACACTAAATTATTGAATTACAATTGATGCTTATATACTAATGTTAATTGGGTGATAATTAGGTGATAGTAGCTAGTTGACATTGGCCATCGAAAGTATTATCATTAGGTGTTGTGGAATTTCCCTAATGTAACTCCTCCCTCCTTAAGTCGAAAATAACATGGGGATGTTGTTTTCGCCAGTTTCTTGAGTTTGGGTCGTTCTTCGTATTAAGGCCTTTTGGAGTGAGTTTCGAAATCTAAAAATTAGAAAGATTATGAGACCGATGCACAGTAAAATGAGGATGGCCAAATATCCGATTTCTCTGTGGTGGTGGTTTTCGTCTTTCAGATCGTTGATGTATCGGATTTGGTTGTTAAGCCGGGAAATATCGTCTAGGTTGACGTTATGTAACTGCAGGTGTCCATGGTGCGAAACTGGTTGTATTTCCTTGTTGTTGATGCTGGGTATCATGAATGGCTCGCCTCTGATCGTGTTTTCTTCGTTGACAAATTGGAAGGTATCTGTGCTTATGCTGCAGTGATGAGGGACTTTTATCAGACTTGTTTCTTTGATGAGTGTGTATCCTTGATTACTGCAGGTTTTTCTTAACTTGATCGAGTTGGTTGCGGGGATTATTAGAAGGTGATCGTCTCCAATTTGCTCGAATATAGCTTCGTTAACGTGTACGGGGGTCGATCGGCATTGATTCGGCTTCATGTGTTGGATAAGCGAAAGTATACAGTCGTCTCCATTTGGCATTAGTTGGTTTTGACAGATGTGTTGGTCTTCTATCGGTTCGCATTCTTCTTCTTGATACTGGTGTTCTGATGTGCCGAGTATAAGGAAGGGTTTTTTGGGTATTATGGTTAGGTTGTTTTGTGGCACAGGGAATAGGTGATAGAAATCAAAATGTTTTGAGTGGAAAATTGGAATGTGTATGACAAAGATTATTTTGTCAGGACTAAAAACAACTTTTAAGTTTAGTAGTTGGTAGTAGGATGTGATGTTTTTGAACTTCATAATTTTTGAATCACCATAGATTTTTATTAATTGATCAAGCATGATCTTAATATCGTTAATAGAGATAATTGAATTATGCAATGTGTTTAATTTAGCAAACATGGCATCCTCTAAGTTATCTAAAAGAGTGATGAGGTTTTGGCAATTTAGGATAATTTGGTCTAAGGTATTCTGAGCCCTAATATAAGCGGAGATGTCATCAAAAGTTTTATATACATTATCTTCGAAATAATTCAACCTGATTTTGATTAATTGTTGGTTTTTACTCAAGGTTGTGATTGTATGGTTGTAGCTATCTATTAATCTTTTTGTTAGTGAGGTTTGCAATTGCATTTGTTTTGACATTGATTCTTGGGCTACAGATAATGTTTTAAGAGCATGATCGTAGCGTTCGCCATCGTCTGAATCTAGGGTACCGAATAACCATTTTGAACTTTTACCTATTAAATTTATCAAGCCTCTTTTTTTGATGATGTGGGGTTTAAGATTGTTTAGTTTTCTTTCGGACTCTAAAATAAGGAAATGGGCATGTAGTAGTAGGTTTCTTAGGACATTTCTGTAGGTTACTTGAGTTTTTAGGGATGTTTGTAAATGTAGTGTAGTGTTAATCGTATTAAAATAGGAGATGGTATTATCCAGGAGTGATATTAGTGGGTTGATTTCGATGTAATGGATAAATGTATGTTTTGTCTCTATAATTTTACCAACACCTAGATGGAATGGGAGAATCTGTGAATGGATAGGGGTGATAGTGATTTCCTCCACCGAATTACTTAGGGTTGACGTTATGACTAGTAGAAAGATGGTCCTAAAGATTTGTATCATCCTGTAACAATTGCTTATTGTAAAACTTTCTAGGTTTTTTTACAGTTGATTTATGATACATACCGCGACTTGTTTCTATCTTTTTGTCATTGTCAGAAATTATTTTAGCTGCATGAAATTTGGGTTTTGCTTTATTTCGTTCTTTTGAGTTAATATAAGCGGTTTCGTTTGCAGCATAGCAAGTAGGATCTTCTCTTTTAAGATTCAACTTGGCTATGTTTTGTTTTTTGTAGTTAACATTTTTCACTTTTATGGTGTTATACAACAATTTGGCGTTTTCTTTATGATTTTGAATGTAATTGGATATAATCTTTTTATCTGATAGATCGAAAGGGTTGCTACTATTTATGTGACCGTTGATTATTTCAAAAGGCGTATGTCCTGTTACTGAGTGAATGGAATTATTGTATCCTACAATCGCGTGTTTTACTAGCGTTATGGTCTCTTCGCGTGGTTTTTCTAGTTTCAAACATCGGACTTCTTCTGCTAATGTAGAGTGAAAACGTTCGACCGGGGAATTACTATTGGAATTTTTTGGTGTTGGAGTTCGATTTTATGTAGTTTGCAAAAATCATCTAAAAGATTATTTTTAAATTCTCCACCGCAATCGGTTGTTATTTTGTAGGGCATACCGTGATGCGAAATAAAACTTAATAGAATAGAATAGAATAGAATAAATTTATTAGCATACAAAATACAATTTGTTTAGCCTCGTCCAGTAACAAAATGTACACACTTACATAACATATACTTACACACTAGACTAAAATATACACATTGTATAAACAAGTACAATCAAGTACCTACATAACAGTACTTCTAAAACAATCAATAAATGATCTGCGCCGCCGAAGACATCCTATATGTGAACACTAGCAAATTCCTCAATGTTATAAAACAATTTTTCATGCAAAATGGACTTAATCTTAGACTTAAATTTATAGGGCGAAAGACTTTTGACCGTGTGTGGTAATAAGTTAAACATTTTAATGCAAGTTACTTGTATGGAATTTTTTGTTTTTTCTAACCGATGGTATGGCATCATGAATTTATCTTTGTTACGAGTTGGGTAATCATGCACGTCTGAATGTTTAACAAAGTTATTTTGTTGTTCATATGCATATAGTAGTATATTATAAATATAAATGCAAGGAAGTGGCAAGATATTAAGTTTTTTAAAGAAGGGTTTACAATGTGCCCTCATGTCACGACAGTTTGATAGAACTCGGATAGCTTTTTTCTGTATAGAAAATATTCGAGTTGCGTTACTAGAATTTCCCCAAAATATAATACCATAGCTTAGTAAACTATTAAAATTACTGAAATAAAATGTGCGAGCTATATCGCTGGAGCAATACAACATTAATTTTTTTATTTGGTATAATACTGAGTTCAGTCGTGGTGCCAGTACATCAATGTGTGGTTTCCATGTAAGTCTACTGTCCAATGTCAGCCCTAATAGTTTTCCTACATTCATAACATCAGTAGTGTTTGTTAAGTTAGATTTTAAGGAAAATATAACACATTGATTTTTCTCTTCATTTAAAACTAAACTATTCGATGTAAGCCATTCCTTTGTTTTTTGCTTACTGTGACTTTCCATTTTTTTAAGATCCTGAATGTTATCTGACGAATTGACGAGACTCGTGTCATCCGCAAATAATATACATTTTTGTGTATCTATATTTGCAGCAATATCATTGATATAAATTAAAAATAATATTGGTCCCAATACTGAACCCTGGGGAACTCCAATCTTTAATGTTTTGGGTAGCGATAATATGCTTTTTTCAGATACTACTTGTGTTCTATCTTTTAAATATGACGCAAGAAGTTCGTGGCATTTGCCTCTTACTCCATAATAATATAGTTTATTTAATAGGATGTGGTGGTTTACACAATCGAAAGCCTTCGATAGATCAAGCATCGTCGCGCAAGTGGCTTTGTTGTTTTCGATGTTAGACATTATAGTTTCTACTAGATTTAGGATAGCTAAAATAGTTGATTTGTTTTTTCTAAATCCAAATTGCTCACTAACAAACACATGATTATTTTCGAAAAATTGGACTAGTCTCTTTTTTAAGATTTTTTCAAATATTTTAGAAATAATTGGCAAAATAGATATGGGTCTGTAATTGTTAATGTTATTTATATCCCCTTTCTTATGTAATGCTATGGTTTTTGCAACTTTCAAGCAACTTGGAAATATGCCTTCGTCAATACATCTGTTTATTAGTACTGATAAGGGTTTAGCAATGGTGAGAGCTACAAATTTAATAACAGTCGAATTTAGGCCATATAAATCGTTGCTAGTAGAAGATTTTAATTCATTGATGCTTTTTAAGATTTCGTTTTCATCAGTTTGCCAGAAGCAAATGGAATTTACTGGTGATTTGTTTAAGTTGTTAACAAAAGTGGAACTGCTTGTTTTTGCCGGTGGAATATTTGAGATTAGTTGGTTGGCAACCTTGACAAAATGTGTATTTAACTCTTCAGCTGTATGTAAGTTTTGACGGGTGCTGTTACACTTTACATTTAGTTCTGATTTAATAAGTTTCCATACCGCTTTGCTTTTGTTTGAAAAGCGGTATGGAAACTTATTAATTATAAATTGTCTATCACATTTATCGGGTGTAAGGATTTAATGGGATACGCTTGGCCATATCTAGAGAATGAGTCAATTATCGTTAGAAAAGAGTTATTTAAAATTTTGAATATGTCTATGTGGATGTGTTCGAAAGGTTTACTTGAAGTTGGTGTCAGATTAAATTTTATAACAGGTGGGTTTCGTTCATATTTCGCGATTTGACATATTTTACAGTTGTTCACATGATTAGTAATATCTTCTATCATTTTCGGCCAATACCAGTTTCGTGATAATGAATTTTTCATTTCGTTAATACCCTTGTGACAGGTTTTTCCTTGGTGGTGATATTCAAGCTTATTTTTTTGATCTTCTAACGTTATGACGTCAGTTACAAAGTTATTACATTTGATAAATCTAAACGAAGTATTTGTTGCATTTCCGGAAGCGGCCACTCACCCTTTTGGGTATCTTTACCTGTTTTTGTAAATA